CTTCCCAAAAATGTTCAAAAAATATCTGGAAAATTTTAATTTTTTTAAAAAATCTTTATTTTTAAAGATTACATTTTTGCCTTTTGGAAAATTTTTTTTTTAAAAAATTACATTTTTTTATTATTTCCTTTCCCAAATATGTTCAAAATTTTTTTTTTAATTATGGAAAAATATATTTTAAAAATACATTTTTATTATATCCTTCCTTTTATGTTCAAAAATATCTGGAAAATAGATTTAAAAAATACATTTCTTAATATATCCTTCTCAATATATTTTTCAAAAATATCTGGAAAATAGATTTTAAAAAATATATTTTTAAAGATATGCCTTTGGAAAATTTATTTTAATTTACATTTTTTTGCAATATGTGTTAAAATACATTTTAAAAATTTTCATTCTTCAAAAATTTCTTGGAAAATATATTTTCTTTTTTAATATATCCTTCCCAAATATGTAAAAAAATATCTGGAAAATATATTTTAAAAATACATTCTTAATATATCCTTCCCAAATATGTTCAAAAATATCTGGAAAATATATTTAAAAAAATATATTTTGAAAGATATGCCTTTTGGAAAATATATTTTTTAATTTACATTTTTGGAATACGTGTTAAAAATATATTCGTGTAGGCCAATATATTGTAAATTATAGGTCGCATGTATAATTTTTTTTTTTGGAAATATATTTCTCTTCCGTATGGGAGCCCTCTCAGATAATATTGTTCTTCATTGTAGGAGCTCCAGAACAGACATCATGAGGTGCACCTACCTTCTCCAGATGGTGGCCGTGGTTTGTATGACAGCAGCCAGCTCCCACGGAAGGTCGTCATCCAAGGGTCAGTACTTGGCCTCCGTATTCTCCGACTTGACCCGCGAGGAGATGAAATCCGTAAAAAGCTTTCTGATGGATCAACAACTCAATCTGGTGTCCAGCCAGAGAAAACGTACGGCAAAAACACCATCTTCATGATGGAGCTGAACTTGCCGAAGAAGAGTAAAGTCCTGAAATTCCTGGACAACGATGGACACAAACCCCAACGAGAGGCCAAAGTGGTCATCTTCTTTGGTGACCAGCCCAACGCCAACATCACGGAATTCGTGGTGGGCCCGCTTCCTCACCCGTACTATTGCCGGCGGGTCATTCCCAGAGGGAAGAAGCTGATCCATTTTGAGTCGCGGCCTGTGACCAATGTGGAATATGAGAAGATCCAGAAGAAGCTGGTGGAGGTCACCAAGGACTTCAACCATGTATTGGTGGAAATTTCCGGATTTTCCTTCTATAACTGCTCGAAGCGTTGCCTGACGTTCACCGACATTGCTCCCCGTGGCTTGAGGTCTGGAGAGCGCAGGTCCTGGATCATCCTGCAGAGGTTTGTGGACGGCTTCTTCCTCCACCCTATTGGCTTTGAGATCCTCCTGAACCACCGTTCCCTCAACCCTGAGGAGTGGACGGTGGAGAAGATCTGGTACAATGGACAATACTTTGACAGCGTCAAGGAACTTCTTCAGACATACGAAAGGAAGGAGCTGAAGGTGATGCCCCTTAACGGACTTCACCGAGCAGGATCCGTACTCAACCTTCATGCCACGCGAGCATTTCAAGACCAACACCGACATCCATGGCACCAAAATCTGTGAGCCTCAGGGCAAGCGGTACAAGGTGTTGGGTAACTACGTGGAATATACGGGATGGAGCTTTGCGTTCCGTGTGCGTCCTTCTGCTGGCCTACAGATCTTCGACATCCGGTACAACGACGAACGCGTAGCGTATGAGGTGAGCGTTCAGGAGGCCATCGCGTTCTACAGCGGGGTCACCCCGGCAGGCATGCAGACCAAATACATCGACTCCGGGTGGGCAATGGGAACGGTGCACTACGAGTTGGCCAAAGGCATCGACTGCCCCGAAGTGGCCACTTACCTGGACCTCTACAACTATTACGACGCGGACGAGCCCGTGCGTTACAAGAACGCTTTGTGCATCTTCGAGCTGCCCACGGGGATCCCGCTACGCCGTCACTTTGACAGCACCCACGACGGCGGCTACAACTTCTATGCCGGGGTGGAGAACCACGTGCTGGTGGTGAGGACAACATCCACCGTCTACAACTACGACTACATCTGGGACTTCCTCTTCTACCAGAACGGGGGTGGTGGAGGCCAAAGTCAGCGCCACGGGCTACATCCATGCCACGTTTTTCACACCGGATGGCCTCCACTACGGAAGTAAGGTCTACAGCCACGTCCTGGGGAACATCCACACCCACCTGGTGAACTACAAGGTGGACCTGGACATTGCAGGTAAGATGCTACTCAGCAGGCTCCATTTACCAGGCTCCATTTACCAGGCTCCATTCACTAGACTCCATTCCTCAGGCTCCATTCACCAGACTCCATTCACCAGCTCCATTCCTCAGGCTCCATTTAGCAGGCTCCATTCACCAGGCTCCATTCACCAGGCTCCATTCACCAGGCTCCATTCACCAGGCTCCATTCCTCAGGCTCCATTCAGCAGGCTCCATTCACCAGTTCCATTCCTCAGGCTCCATTTAGCAGGCTCCATTCACCATTCCATTCCTCAGGCTCCATTTACCAGGCTCCATTCACCAGGCTCCATTCACCAGGCTCCATTCCTTAGGCTACATTTACCAGGCTCCATTCCTCAGGCTCCATTCACCAGGCTCCATTCCTTAGGCTACATTTACCAGGCTCCATTCCTCAGGCTCCATTCAGCAGGCTCCATTCCTCAGGCTCCATTCACAAGGCTCCATTCCTTAGGCCCCATTCCTCAGGCTCCATTCACCAGGCTCCATTCACCAGGCTCCATTCCTCAGGCACCATTCACCAGGCACCATTCACCAGGCTCCATTCACCAGGCTCCATTCCTCAGGCTCCATTCACCAGGCTCCATTCTCCAGGCTCCATTCCTCAGGCACCATTCACCAGGCACCATTCACCAGGCTCCATTCCTCAGGCTCCATTCACCAGGCTCCATTCCTCAGGCTCCATTCACCAGGCTCCATTCCTCAGGCTCCATTCCTCAGGCTCAGTTCACGCTCATCATGTGACTTGCAATGTCTGTAGTCACATGACGTGTCCATGGCTCCAGTTCTGATCCAAGTGACTGAAGTCGCAGCGTCTCTACAGGAGGTTCCGGCAGACACGGACAGAGGAAAAAATCGTTACATTTCGGGTCGATCCGTCAAGTTAATAATATGCGTTTCGTGGCGTTCTATTATTCATTTTTTTTAGTTTCGGTGATTTGTTTTTGACCAAATTCACGTTTCTTCCAGCGGATTCGAAGACATCAAATCGCTCCGAATTCATTGAGAATAGCTGGTTCTGTTCTATTCAAAAGACAGCTGTATTCATCCTATTCTATTCCTTTCTTCTCTGTTCTATTGTATTCTATTCGAATTTCATATATTTTTTATATACTATTCTTTTCGAAATTTGAATTTTGGAAGACCGCTATATTCTGTTTCATTCTGTTCTATTTTTTTCTATTCTATTTTATTCTATTCTGTTCTATTCGCATTTCAGAAAATGGCTATATTGTTTGTATTTTATTCTATTCTTTTATATACTATTCTATTCTGTTTTATTCTATTCTTTTTGAAATTCAAATTTTGGAAGACTGCTATATTATTTCTATTTTATTCTATTCTATTTTTTTTCTTCTATTCTCTTGTATTCTCTATTTTTCTTTCCAATTATTTTCTATTTTTCTTTGTTCTGTGCCTTTATTTTATTTTCTATTCTATTCCTTTATGTTCTGCTTTATTCTATTCTATTTTTATTCTGTGTTAGTCTACTCTTTTCTATTCTATTCTTTTCAAAATTTGAATTTTGAAAGACCGCTATATTCTATTTCTGTTTTATTCTATTCTATTTTTTATTCTATTCGAGTCGATTCTATTTTTCTTATTTTCTATCCTATTATTTTCTATTTTTCTATTTTCTGTTCATTTATTTTCTATTCTATTTTATTCTAGTCTATTCTTTTTGGAAATTAAAATTTCAGAAAACTGCTATATTCTTTCTATTTTATTCTATTCTATTGAAAATTACATTTTGAAAATTCGAATTTTGGAAGACGGCTGTATAATTTCTATTTTATTTTATTCTAACCCCAAATCTCTCTCTTCTCCCCTCCACCTCTCTTCCACTGTCCTCCCCCCTCCATCTGGGTTCTGTTCTGCAGATGGAATTAGGGGGTTCACCCCCCAAATCTCTCTCCTCCCCTCCACCTCTCTTCCACTGTCCTCCCCCCTCCATCTGGGTTCTGTTCTGCAGATGGAATTAGGGGGTTCACACCACCGCCCCCCCAAATCTCTCTCTCCTCCCCTCCACCTCTCTTCCATTGTCCTCACCCCTCCATCTGGGTTCTGTTCTGCAGATGGAATTAGGGGGTTCACACCACCGCCCCCCCCAAATCTCTCTCTCCTCCCCTCCACCTCTCTTCCACTGTCCTCCCCCCTCCATCTGGGTTCTGTTCTGCAGATGGCATTAGGGGGTTCATCCCCCCAAATCTCTCTCCTCCCCTCCACCTCTCTTCCACTGTCCTCCCCCCTCCATCTGGGTTCTGTTCTGCAGATGGAATTAGGGGGTTCACACCACCGCCCCCCCAAATCTCTCTCTCCTCCCCTCCACCTCCTCTCTTCCACTGTCCTCCCCCCTCCATCTGGGTTCTGTTCTGCAGATGGCATTAGGGGGTTTCACCCCGCCCCCCCAAATCTCTCTCCTCCTCCCCTCCACCTCTCTTCCATTGTCCTCACCCCTCCATCTGGGTTCTGTTCTGCAGATGGAATTAGGGGGTTCACACCACCCCCCCCCCATTGTCCTCACCCAAAATCTGTTCTGCTCTAGGGGGTTCACACCACCCCCTCCTCCCCTCTCTTCCATTGTCCTCACCCCTCCATCTGGGTTCTCTTCTGCAGATGGAATTAGGGGGTTCACACCACCGCCCCTCCAAATCTCTCTCTCCTCCCCTCCACCTCTCTTCCATTGTCCTCACCCCTCCATCTGGGTTCTCTTCTGCAGATGGAATTAGGGGGTTCACACCACCGCCCCCCCCAAATCTCTCTCTCCTCCCCTCCACCTCTCTTCCACTGTCCTCACCCCTCCATCCTTCTTTCAGGAGCTGAAAACAGTTTTGAGACGACGGATCTGAAGTACGAGAACATTTCCAACCCCTGGAGCCCCGGTGACTTCATTGTCCAATCCCGGTTGGACAGACGCCTGAGGACCAGTGAGAAGGCAGCCGCCTTCAGATTCGGGGAGTCATTGCCTCGGTACCTGATGTTCATGAACCCCAACAAGAAGAACAAGTGGGACCATTACAGGAGCTACCGGATCCAGTACAATTCCCACGCCCACAGCGTGCTGCCACGGAAGTGGGACGCAGAGAGAGGAATCGCCTGGTCCAGGTAATCTTTGTAGGGGGAGGTCAGTCCATGGACGGAGCGGGGGGTTGTGAGGGTTCTCCAAAGGAAAGGTGCGCCATTTCCGCCATCTCATCATGGCGGCTCAGTTGGGAGTCTCTGCTTTCATTGCCTCGTGTGATTGGCAGGTACAGCCTGGCGGTGACGCGGCACAAGGACTGGGAGCTGGCCAGTAACAGTATGTACATCCAGAACGACCCCTGGGATCCCGTCACCTACTTTGAGAATTTCATCCGCAACAACGAGGACATTGTCAACAAGGTGAGTGCTCCGACCACCTTACATGTCCTTTTTTTGGTAGAACTTCACATTGGAATGTAGAGTATGTTGGTTCCGGTCAGCTAGAGCAAGAGGGGACACTGGAACTGTAAGGGTTACGGAGCCAGTACACTCAAAAAGGTGTTTGATTTGTAGGTGGAGGCCATGGTAGATCATGGTAGGCCATGGTAGGCCATGGTAGGTCATGGTAGGCCATGGTGGCCATGGTAGGCCTTGGTAGGTCATGGTAGGCCATTGTAGGTCATGGTAGGTCATGGTAGGCCATGGTAGGCCATAGTAGGTCATGGTAGGCCATGGTAGGTCATGGTAGGCCTTGGTAGGTCATTGTAGGCCTTGCTAGGTCATGGTAGGCCTTGGTAGGTCATGGTAGGCCATGGTAGGCCTTGGTAGGTCATTGTAGGCCTTGCTAGGTCATGGTAGGCCTTGGTAGGTCATGGTAGGTCATGGTAGGCCATGGTGGGCCATGGTAGGCCTTGGCAGGTCATGGTAGGCCATGGCAGGCCATGGTAGGTCATGGTAGGCCATGGTAGGCCTTGGTAGGCCATGGTAGGCCTTGGTAGGTCATGGTAGGCCATGTTAGGTCATGGTAGGCCTTGCTAGGTCATGGTAGGCTTTGCTAGGTCATGGTAGGTCATGGTAGGCCATGGTAGACCATGGTAGGCCATGGCTTCTCATGTCTCATGAGGTCTTCAGTGGTGAGATCTCCACACTATCATTCCAGAATTTGTTCCTGCACCCCTCGACTTATTACCAACAACCTTCACGTGTTCCAGCTTCTCCTGATACACTCTCCATAATATCCTAACCAATTACAATCCGGCACAGGGATGGTGGGAACCCCTCATATTGGGCACAATATGTGTTTAGACCTGAGGACTCATAGAAGGGATGGTGGGAACTCCTCATAATGGGCACAGCAGGTGTACAGATCCCAGAACCCAACACAGGGATGGTGGGAACCCCTCATATTGGGCACAGCGGGTGTACAGACAAAGGAACTCAGCACATGGATGGTGGGAACCTCTCATAATGGGCACAGCGGGTGTACAGACCAGGGAACTTGGCAAAGGGATGGGGAGAACCCCTCATAATGGGCACAGCAAGTATGAAGACCTGGGAACTCAGTGCAGGGATGGTGGGAACCCCTCATAATGGGCACAGTGGGTGTACAGACCCGGGTCAGCACAGGATGGTGGGAACCCCACATAATGGGCACAGCGGGTTCAGACCCGGGAACTCAGCACAGGGATGGTGGGAACCCCTCATAATGGGCACAGTGGGGGTACAGACCCGGGAACTCAGCACAGGGATGGTGGGAACCCCTCATAATGGGCACAGTGGGGTGTACAGACCCGGGAAACTCAGCACAGGATGTTGGGAACCCCACATAATGGGCATGGGGGGGTACAGACCCGGGAACTCAGCACAGGGATGGTGGGAACCCCTCATAATGGGCACAGTGGGGGTACAGACCCGGGAACTCAGCACAGGGATGGTGGGAACCCCTCATAATGGGCACAGTGGGTGTACAGACCCGGGAACTCAGCACAGGATGGTAGGAACCCCACATAATGGGCATGGGGGGGTACAGACTCGGGACTTCCTCACATGGAAGAGCGATCCTGTGTTACCTGCCACATGGAGGAACGCTGTTCTGATAGGAGGGGAAGCACCGCACCACTACAGCCTCTCTCCTCTTTTCCACATGCTCCTTTTTGGGCTTTCCCCCCCTTGTAGGTTTGTACTGGTGCTGAGTGTGGGACTAGAGGGAAGTAGCTGGGCAAAACATCCATCGGGTGGCTGGCCTGGGGGGCACAATGGAAATCTGGGGGGGTGTAGCCCACCCCAGCATCCCCTAGATCCGGCCTCTTATTTTGTGCTGCTCTCTAGTTGCCTCATGACTTATTTGCTCACCAGAACCTCAGGAACCACATAGAGTCTGAAGGTCCATAGAGAACTCTGAGAGGTCCAGCTCACATTTTCGGTTGAAGTTTTGTCCTTGCGTTGGCACACAATGATGTCTTTTCTAACCCTACTTCATCTTTCCCATTCAGGACCTGGTGGCCTGGGTGACCGTTGGATTCCTCCACATCCCCCACTCTGAGGACATCCCCAACACTTCCACCCCAGGGAACTCAGTGGGATTCTTCCTCCGACCCTTCAACTTCTTCGATGAAGATCCATCGGTGGCCTCCAGGTCCACAGTCATCGCGAGACCAACAGACAAGACCTTCAGTAAAGTGACCATCAAACGCTGGACTCCGGACGTTGTTGGTCAATGTGTGTCTGACAAACCCTTCCGTTACAATGGCACCTACTTCTCCGACTGAGAGGTCACCTCGGATGTCTACGGGGCTGGAGAATGGTTTGTTGGTTGGACACCGAGAATAAGTTGCCTTGTCTTTACGACATGCCGAGTAACCTATAGCCAGCAGAAGGTCTCCCAGTTGTCTCGTTTAGGTCTTTCTATGGAGCCCCAAAAGCACAAAGTTGCAACCAAGACTTTTTTATCTCTTCTTTTTATGGAATTGTAAAAAACTAAGAGCAGAGTCACCTGTGTGCAATAAATGGCGTGTGTGTGCTGGACCCAACGTGTAGCTGGTTTGTGATCCAACCCTTGACGCTGGTGGGGTCAGACGATAGAAAGGACGGGTCCACATTCGCAGGATGACAGCAACTCCTCTCAGATATGAACTCACACTTCTCAACATTCTTCCTTACATTTTCCACATTCGTCCCGTAGACGGGGCGCCATCTTGTATATTAGAGTGCAGTAAGCATCAATGCTAAACAAACATGGCAGAACATGCAGAACAAGATGGATGGTGCATTAGGTTCCAGGCCGTGTGCTGGGCTGTAGTCACCATGGTGGGCTGGCACCTTGGGTAACGAGGGCAAGAAGGGGCTCCAAACCTTAAACTGTTTCTAATATTGTTTTCCCTTCTGGTCGCCTTCGGCCATTTACAGCTAAATCCACTGTAAGGGGAGGGGGTTAGGATCATGGCGAGAGGAGTCAGAAGACTCTTTATAGTTCAGTAGACATGACACAATCTCTTCTATCTCTTGATCCATGGTCTATACAGCTATACGGCATATAAATCATTCCACATTCCTCCTCTAAAATTAGTTTTGACTAACGTGGTCACATGACACAAGGGCGGAGCTTGTATAAAAAGGTGTCACCTAGGTACGGCCCACGCTGTGTGTGTCCTAAACTGAGGAGCTCCACCTAGTGACACTCCTATAGCTTTTTATGGATATAAACTTTGGGCTGTCCAAAGACCTCATCGGAGATCACCATCATAGGAGGGGAGCACAGAAAGCATGTAGACCAAGGAGGATGGCTGCCACCAACAACACCTCCTCACCCTCTAGAGGTGTAAATGTCCACCAGTGGTCTAGTGGGCTGACACTTCACATCAGGGTTGGATTCTGGACCTTTAGTGGGGTGGAAGAAGTTGGACACTGGTCACTTTATGGAGTTTTATGGAGTTTATTAAAACCAATCATTGGGAAGCTGAAAAATGATTCCTTGCAGGGTCGATCTGTTCAGCAGCACAGACAGTGCAGTGCAACCACTACAGAGCCTGACTGCATGCCACACCAGTGTAACCACATACCAATCTATCATCACAGTGTCCCTGGTGCACCATCAACATCTGTCACAATGTCCCCGGTGCACCATCAACATCTGTCACAGTGTCCCCGGTGCACCATCAACATCTGCAACAATGTCCCCAGTGGATCATCAACATCTGTCACAGTGTCCCCAGTGGATCATCAACATCTGTCACAGTGTCCCCAGTGCACCATTATTTGTCAAGGTGTCCCTGGTGCAGCATCTAAATGTCACAATGTCCCTGGTGCACCATCCTATGTCACAGTATCCCCAGTGGACTATCAACATCTGTCACGGTGTCCCCAGTGCAGCATCTACCTAAATGTCACAGTGTCCCCAGTATAGCGTCATCGTCTGTCATATTGTCCCCAGTGCAGCAGCTTCTATTGCAGTGCCCAAGTGCACCATGAACATCTGTCACAATGTCCCCAGTGGATCATCAACATCTGTCACGGTGTCCCCAGTGCACCATCAACATCTGTCACGGTGTCCCCGGTGCACCATCAACATCTGTCACGGTGTCCCCGGTGCACCATCAACATCTGTCACGGTGTCCCCGGTGCACCATCAACATCTGTCACGGTGTCCCCGGTGCACCATCAACATCTGTCAACGTTGTCCCCGGTGCACCATCAACATCTGTCACGGTGTCCCCGGTGCACCATCAACATCTGTCACGTTGTCCCCGGTGCATCATCAACATAGGGGGGGGGGCAATGTCAGGGATCCCGACCACTCGGAGGTGCATGCATGCGCAGATTGCCGACACGCACTAGCCGGCGAGCACTGAGACTTAGGCGATCGCGGCGGTAGCAGCACACTCACAATCGCGGACGCATGCCTGTCACCAATGAGAGCACAGGGCGCACTATTTAAACCAGCCCTGTGCATCTCCAAATCGCCTTATGTTCTTGTTCCTGATTGTCCTGTACTTCTGCTGCCTTGTTGCCGACCCAGCCTGATCCTGATACTGCTGTCCTCTCCTGCTCTGACCCTTGGCTCGTCCTGACTATTCTCTGCCTGATCCTGAATGCCTGATCTTCTGTTGCTGAACCCGGCTTGTGACCTGATTATTCTTGCCTGTCGTTCTGTACTGTCTGCTCCGCTGTTACCAACCTGGCCTGTCTGACCACAATATACCTCTTCACATCTGGCTCTTACCTGCTATACGCCATTGGCGGCTGCCTTTACCACAGCTGGTGTTACTCGGGGGTCGCGACCTAGTCTAGGGTGCTTCAAGTCCATCCCCACCATCAGGGGCTCTGGTGAACCAGCAGACTGAGGCTTAGACTCCGCGCCCTGAGGGATTCCGGCCTGTGGGCCACTAGAGGCTACCGTCAGTCGGCTCCTGACAGGTGCACTGCCGCGCACCTAGCGTGGGCTCCGTATGTACACTTAGATCTTGGGCTTCTGTGCCTCTGTACAGAATGGGGACCTCTGCTGTGCCAATCCGCTCCCATTGCCATGGGAAACAGTCCAATGGTGGAAGGAATGCCAACAACATCTCACTAGCTAGAGGCTGTCCCCCCTGCGACAGGTACATGCCAACGACAGGCTGCTTTAATGCTAGCTTCCGTTACCCTTGGTAACCAATTGCTGTACTGACCAAGACCCTGACTTCATACCCCAACGTGCCTAGTGACCCAAAGCAGTGAAATAAGTGTAACGTGTGCTGGTTCCTTGCATTGCACACCCTTAAGAACTTTAGACCAGGCAGAAAGCAAAGCTTCAACGTCTTTACTAAGTGCCAGAATCATTACAACACACGAAAACAGTCCTTTCCCCTACGCCTCTAAACTCTAACTCAGGCCTGTGTGCTGCCCCAGCATACCTGCAAAAAAGGTAGTCCATTGGTGGTAAGTCAATTGGTATCAGCAGAGTCCAGCAGCTGGTGTCTTCAGGGTGAAACCCAAGGCTTCGATGGCTTCCTACAACAGGTTCCAAGATGCCACAAATATGGTTTTTATATGCCGATGTAGCCTACAGAGTGCCCAAACAGAAGGGAGTATTTTCATCTCTCTGTAACTAATATTTTAGCTTTTATGAGGGATGAAACATACTTCTTTGATCTATGTATATCCCTTTTAGAGCTTCCAATGTCAGGTAGACAACCTGTCCGCAGTCATTTCCTCCAAACCGGTTTTCCCAGAAAGTGACAAAACCTTATTAGCACAAAGGTGTCACATCCAGGAAGCCGGGCTTTTCAGGTGCTATTTGATGAGCTCCTGTCTGAATACCTATGACTGAATATTTGACTGAATACATCTTTAATAACATGCAACTACGTTTACAATTACATATTGCTACTGATCACATCTTATCTACTCAAATGTGTACATTTATGTCACATGTACGTTACATCCCTACATCTCTAAACCCTAACTAATGCTTGTGTGCTGCCCCAGCATACCTGCAAAAATGGTAGAGTCCATTGGTGGTAAGTCAATTGGTATCAGCAGATTCCAGCAGCTGGTGTCTTCAGGGTGAAACCCCAGGCTTCGATGGCTTCCTACAACAGGTTCCAAGATGACATCCTTCTCTTTCAGGCCAGGGATTCATGGTAAGAGCCTCGGCCCCAGCCCACTGTGCCTCTTATAACCTCACGATATGTGGGTCAGACCCATAAAGCCCACCTAAAGCAGAAAACGCAGGAACACAGGTTAACCCTAACCCTCCCATCTGGGGCAGCACCTAGCTAGCTAGATTGCAACAAGTAATATAATAAGGTCTTATTATAACGTAGGAGAGGTGGGGAGATGAGAAGTTGTCAAGTTGGAGGTCTTTGGGTAAGGGTCTTACTCTTCGGTGACCACCCTAGACCAGTCTATCAAAGGCAGGCTTCATCCACCTACCAGCATTTTGCCAAGTCACCTCAGAAGAACTCAGAAGGCATCCGGGTTGAAAAAGGCTGCCCAAGAACAGAAGACCCTCAACCCCCAGGCTGGAGATCACTGCCAGTCCGTGACCTGTAGGAGCCTGGGTCATGCGGGGGGGGTGGGGGCTTTTGCCAGCACAGCCTACACTGCCACCACCAGAGGGTGCCCGCTCCCCTTCTCCCAGCACCACTACTCCTTTCCCTCTGTGGTCACATCACTCAGCCAATAAACTACAGAGAGGAAGGGGGAGGGAGGAGAGCTTGGTTTGGGGACAGGATCGTCATACTTATAGAGCGGGCTCAGCAGAGAGTGGGAGACAACACCATGTCCTGGGGACCTTCATACTGAGCCGACTTCAGGTGACAGGCCGCATCCACCCACCCCCAGTCCGTGGAGGAGTTGTCTTCTACAAGGACAGTCCTTGGTGCCGGCGGAGAATGGGGACCACTGTCCTAGAGTACAAAGCTAGAGGGTACAAGGTGGTCCAGTACGGTTCAGCTGGAGGGGCTGGGACATAGAACTAGACATGTCTTCACACAAAAACTTTATTTTCGTTTCCAATGATTGTTCTTGAACGTTTGGGAAGGTAGAACCTGGGAGATGCAAGGCTGTGGTCCCCCACCATCAAAAGGCACTTGCAATAACAAATAGTTCCATAGTTAGTCTGGCTGAAAAAAGACAAAAGTCCATCCAGTTCAACCATAGAAATAAGGAGTCACTCATGTTACTTCTTTTTTTTTGAAAGATATGTAACTGTTAACACATGACAATAGTACTGCTATGATATGAGGAGGAGTTCTCCAAACTGTGGCCCTTTGCTTGTATCCGGCTCTTG